TGCCATAATATGCAAAATAAACAATAAGCCAGCCACATTCAGATCCCCAGCTGTGTCGGTAAGGCTTTTTCCTCTTTTTCCTCTTTTTCCTTTCAGGTCCGAGAAGTCGGAGCACACAGGAAAACAACCACGAAAGCCTCCACCACGCCACCTGTTTCACCACGTGGTTCCTTTGGTAGTGCACTCAGAGGAGGGCCTGTGCCAAGGCTACGGGTGTGTTTCCCTGATCCAGAGATGTGGGATACAGTGCGCTCAATGACCCTCACCCTCGTTTTTTGTTTTGGTTCTTTTTTCCAAAACAAATAAACCAAATCCCTCCTCAGCCATCTCTCGGTACCTACTGTTTTTGATGAGCATAAAAAGACCACCCTAAACCTCAGACTGTGCTACAGGTTCAGTGCCTGCCAGCAGTCAAGGGCACCTGGAGTGGTGGCCAAAGACCTCTAATGAAAACCAGCAGCACGGCTCTCACCAGCAGGCCTGCTAACATTCAGCCATGGCACCGTGCTCTCATGTAAAGCACAGCTGCACCGCCCAAAATGGCAGCCCTCAGAGGACGAGCTAAATTAGCTTCACCTCCCACCTCACGAACAATTCCCAGCTATGCTCTAGCCACATCGCTAATGATGATGTAAGGAACTTTTATAAGAGTCTGATTTGCACGTACCGGGTTTAACTTTTAGGAGACAGCTGTTCGAGGAGTCCTCCGGTGACGGGCACGGGCAGGCTCTTCTGCGGCCTTGGAGAACAAAGACGTTCACAGGAACACTCCTGCAGTGGCAGCCTGGCAAATACGGACATCCTCAGATGATAGGACAATTCAGTCCCTCTCTGAGCTTAATCTTTGTAACTTCGCCTGTTTTTGAAAGGGAGTCTGAGTAGTCTTAAATGTATATTGTAGTGACCCCAGCAATGCTGCATAAAAGGCTCAGTGCAAACAGCTCTCCTCCTTTTCTTTTTGGCCACCCCTCTTTTCACACCGCAGGAGCTACCAGGACAGTCATGGTGGCTTTGCACGTCGCACAAAGGTGGCCCAACCGGTGAAGTCCACCTTGCTGCTCCTCACGAAAAAGGAGCGGAACAGACCCAGCTAGAGCTCTTAGGCACATCCACCTCATCATATGATCTTAAAGTCTCCTACAACTTGGGATTTTTTTCTAATTTTCTGCTATAAGCTAAAATCGTGTCCCATCCCACGTGCTGAGCTCATAGGTTATATGAATGCAAGTCACTCCCTGGTCCTCTGCCTGAATACCACAGGAGAGCCACCTACGTGCAGCTGCTCCACAGCCTCTCCCGTTCAACACCAGTGGGAGGGAAAAGCGTGGCCGGGAAAAGGGAAGACCATGGCATTTCCACCAGTTTGCATGTCAGTGTCAGCGGATTCGATTTATGCAGGGAGCACCCGCTGCTTAAGGGCAGGAGGAGGTCCGAGGGAAGCCAAAGCTCGCAGCTGCAGTCTGCGCACCGCTGGGAGCTGCAGTTGGGGTGCAGTGCGTCACCCCCCAGCACGGGCAAAGAGCTGTGGTCTCACACCAGTGGCTCCACTCCACCCGCTTCCCGCTCTGCCTCTCCCAGTGCCTTTTGCTTCACAAGGCTGGATGTGTTTTTAACTTCCTATAATGCAACGATCTGCTCCTCTCTTTCCATCTGTAAAAGGCAATAGTTCCCAAGTGTAAGAGGAGCTGGTTTGCCTTTATCCAAGTTAGAAAGGGGGCATCGACAAAGCATGTATAATTATATGAACACAAGCCTATTTTATCCTTTGGAGTATCTCAAATTTTTAGCTACTTAGTGTAAAGCACACAGCTATGCATAAAAACCTTTTTTTTCATTAATACTTGTTTAGGTTAAAGTCCTAGGATTAGCAGTGCTCTTTAAGTATTTTAAGACAGTATTTTATTAATAATTAAAAATTTAAAGTATTTTGTCTAAATTCAGTTTTCCTGTTTCATTAAGTACCCCTCCATGACCAGAGTCAGGATGTAGGTTCAAAGTCAAAACATTTATAGCAAATCTGTCTAAGTGTGGTGGGAGATCTGAATTGTCCCTGCAAGAAGTAGAAAAGGCTTACATGGGCACAGAAAATAACTGATGCACTCTCACATACACACACCTGTATTTATCTGTCTCTATAGAAATTGATCCTCACAGGCTTAGAGCACCACTCATCTAGCGACATTATTAAAATAAATAAAAGCTAACTACAGAAGGCTCAGATTTTGGAAATAAAAAGCCATCTATTAATTGTGATTTGATATATGCTGCTCTCTATACCTATACACATTAAGTACGTAACAGTGTGCATACGTGTGTGTATACATGTACACAGGCTTACTTTTATAAGATCCTCCTCTTCAACCAGTTCACCACAGGGAAATCTGTATTTTGAGGGCTTGAGTGTGGAACTTTTTTTGCCCTTATCCTTTCAAACTTTCCTGCAGGTTTCAGCAGGGCACCTGAAACGGCCGAGTTGTTCAAAGCAGCTCAGAACAGATCCGAAGCGCGATTTTGTGTTCTTCACAGGCAAGGAGACAGTTAAGGGCTTGTCTCTGTCTGTGGTACCGCAACGGAAACTCTCAAGCAGTAAAATCCATTATGAACAAAATAGAGAAGTTCCAGGGAATGGAATTTGTCTGAACTGAACAACGAAAGACGAGCGCTTATCTTTTTGCGGAACATCCGTACAAAAGATGTGGCATTCTTAAAATATCTTGATACTTAGTTATGAGTAGGACTATTCATCCTACACCCTACTTCTGCACACAGGAAGGGAAGAGCTAACAGCAGAAGAATTTTCTTTCGGCGGTGGGAACAACTGCGTGATGATTATCCCCCACCCCGTGTGGGATTCCATCGGAGATGAAGGATGCCCTGGCAAGCGTTGGGGCATTACTACATGTTTGTGGAAGTCTCTCAGCTTTTATTAATTAGATTCCTGACAACGCAATAAAACCCCGTAGCAGAAAGCCACACTGTTTCATTCCTGAATCATATGAAATCATTCACCATTTTATGTACAAGTTTTGAATTACAATCTTCAACTTCTCATCAGAAAAAAAAACCCAAAAAGCCTAAAAAAAGCATTTTTGGCAGAACTGCACAGTGTACAGAAGCATACTTTCAATTACACAATATCTTACAGAACACATACTGCGACAAAAAGCAGAGCCTGTTACCTTTTCTGAGAAAGATGTGCCCAGACAAAACTAGATGTTTCACCTCCGTTACTAGAGGAACAGCTTTAACTGGACAAAAAGAGTACATGAAAAAATTCCTGAACACTCCAGATAGTTTAACAGAAAAACAAAAGTGCATTTGTAAACAATTTTAAAACAAGAGCCTTATGAAAATAATAAAGGTCACTGAAAGTTAAGCTGTTAAACTCTTCTTAGCCCAAACTGCTATATTCTATCCTTTTAGGTTTGCTTTTTTTTTTAATGATACACAGATTTTGCCACACAGAACACTTCACTGAGAAATCTGGGCAAGTACTTTTTAAATTTTTGGTGGAATTTAAGAACGGGACAATTGGAAGGCAAAAGGTCAAACTCCAAATTCCCTTTGAAAATTACAAGAGCAATATAACCTAACTATTGAATGGAGCATAGTTCAACAGTGCATGGTAGCACAGTACTTATTTTACAATCCTAGACCTTTTAAATGCAAATCCTGAAAAGTCATAAGCAACTATTAGAACAGATTTTTGTATTATGTACCATTAAGATAGCATTGCATTCACTTTCATTACTCAAACTTCGCCATAAAGTGACTTTTCATATACAATGCTGATTTACCTTAAGTGTATCTGTTTTATGACAAGGCAAACCGTAAAAACTGTCCTGGGAAATGATTTTGTGTATGTAATTATCAACCATGCATCTGAAGTTGAGCATTAGTATTTATGCTGCTCTACTTCATGCTTCAGCATATGTTAAGTAAGCTGCTGATCACCGAGTGTGTTCATTTTGGTAGATGGACAGATGTATGTGAACAGCAATGCTTTGGATAACTTGTGCTATTCCTAATACTACAGTTATTTTCTCTGCCAATTACATTTTGCTATAAATATGTGTGCCCTTAAGTTGATCCCGATATCAGTTTCAGCTAACTAATCAAATTATCTGCGAAGGTTTTGGGAATGATAACCCTTCCTTTATTTAAATAAAATGAGGGAAGGGTTTCTAACTCCCAAAGGTTTGCCAACAATAGATTTATTTTCAAGACAGGATGACACTGTTCAGTAGGCTGTTTGTCACCTTTGTTGTTCAGAGATGAATATTAATGTTTTTTATCAGGTAGGCAGGAAGAGGAAGAGAAAATACTGTGAGGTTTTTACCCTTAATGTTTTTCCAAGTTCCGCTCATGGGCTTTACAAATAATTATTCGTTTGAAATAAGTGTAAGCCAAACTTCAGATTACTTCTCTTATATTCTGAGGGCTCAGCAGCTGTTAAACTTCAATTTTCTATTTGCCTTTTGCAAAAGAGTGTTATTAAAACCCTGCCCACAACTAAGTACACCAAGAGCTTATGTAAGGCATAATTTCTCATTATATTTAGAAGTGCCTCATTTTTGTATGGTTAAAAGTTAATTCATAATCTAAATAATCAATCTGCAGTGTAAACAAGTAGTTATTTCCCCCCATGTAATAATGGTAAATAATGACACTGATCATTACATATTCTGCTTGAGTTCATTAAATGCAATTCTTCAGTCACAAAGGCAGCAGGCATTCTGTGATGGACTTCCTTTGAACCCTGTTCAAATGAGTGGAATAACTGAGATTCCTGAAGGAGATCTAAGCCATTTCCCTCATTTTCTTAATAGCTTCCGCTATTTGCATACTCAACTCCCATTTCATAATTTGCTATTTAAAATAAATTCGTTTCCCCAAACCCTCCTCTCCCTATCTAAACCAAACTTATTTACATTTATGATAAATGCTTTTCAGCAAGTAAGTTGTAAGGAAAAAAAAATTCAATAAGTGGTATAAAGGCAGAAAGTATTTAAAGTTTTGTATTAGTTTGCTTTTTGAATTTCCTTCCAAAGATGCTACAGGGACAAAAGCTTTAAAGGTTTAAAACACACTTTCACACATTTTTGATTCTTTCTCTCTTTTATGCAAGGGTCCAACTTTGCCCAGTGAATCACCTTCATAACTTTTGCCCAGTAACTAAATGAAACTGCGTGTCATTCCCCCCAAGAAAGTAAAGAAAATACAGCCTTTTACTTCAAATATTTTATGAATGCAAGATTACAAGAAATATATTAGTCAAAATGCAGGGCTATCAAGCACTGAACCAAGGATGCTGGCATCAGTTTGCCTACCATTTTGCATGTGGAAAAAATACACTAAGTCTACAGGTAAAAGACATCACTAATGCATCATGAATTACTCTGGTCAGCCAACATCACCTCTCCAGCTTGGTGCATGTTTAAGTCCTGAAAATAACCATCATATTAATAGTTTGAGATGAGACACTGGAACAAAACCATTCTTAAACAGGAAAGTTTTTGTTTTGCTCTTATCGAGGTAACACCAAAAACTAAAAACAAGATCTTACAATTTAGCAGCCACTTTAACACTTGTTAGGCTAGCCTTCACACAAGGAGCATGCATACAGCCACTGTTCTTACTTTAAATTGAGGGCTGTTGGTTAATTCAAGTCACTGTTTTCTCACCTTATTCGATTAACCTGTTGAACTGGATGTCCACCATAGGAAAAAGAAAATTAAATGATGTTAAGTGTAGCAGACAAATACAGATCACACCACGAAGCTAACACTCATGAGTTGTCATAATAAGGGATAATAACAATAAAAAAAATATCAGTCTTTTCTGTGCATATTTTTCATTTGAAAGGTCCCAGGAAATCATGATGTGCCTGGCCGTTTCTGTTGCTGATTTCTGATGACCTCTAATTGTTTTTTGCATTGCTGATAGTAAGTTGAGAGACTTTTGTTTTCATCTAACAGCTTTTTATGTTCTTGTACCAGACGGGATGTGTTTTGCTGGTCTTTTTCATCCTGGTCCAGTTCTGCTATTAGTTCTTGTCTAAAATCAAAAAAAGTAATTGTCATTTAGAATCTACTTCTATTTGTGTCTAGATGACTTCATACGTTTAAAATTAGTATTTGATTAGCAGTCTGATCTCGTGGCTGGTGATATTTTGTGGGGGGAAAAGAAAAAGTTGACCAAAAAAAAAAAAAATCTTATTATTTACTGTAGTCTGGGGAAAAATTCTCTTCCAAATCAAATCCACATTTAAACTTTAAAATAGCTGCAAGCTATAGCCTCAATCTGTAAAACTGTCCTTTATATATAATGTCTTTCAGACGTAGTTCTACAGGTCACAGTAAAACATTGAAAGATCCACACAGAATTTCATAAATATATTCAACTCTAATTTTGCTTAACTATATGTACATTAAAGAACTCAAAAGGCAACTTAAAAGACAAAATTGCAATAATTTTGGTTACTTTTTAGTGAAGTGCTGTTTTCTATTTGGACTTGAACTTCTTAAAGCAGTGGAAAAGCAGAATGAAGCAAATTGTTTTTGTAACTGTCATTTCACTTAATTTATGCTGCAAGTGTTCAATATGTTTTTAGCAACAGTTTTAAAGGAACAAACACACTGATAAACTTGTTATAAATTATCCTGCAAAACTGATGCAGCAGTTTGTTTTACTATTTGTTTATGAGGTGACAAGAAGGCAAGCTGCCAGCAATATTTTAGCAACAAAATAGTAGACGAGAAAGTTCATGTTAATTAATTGTTGCCATATGGTTTGCAATTACAGTTAAAGAAAACTTAATTGTTCTATAAAGGTTGAACTAGTAACTACCTTAACCAGCATTAAATTCATCCGTCACAATATCTATGGGCAATTATGTTCTGACTAAGAAAAAACAGTTTGGGAAAAATGTGTGTGCAGGCTTCCTAGAAAAAAAGATAAAGTAGGAATCTAAAGGTACAGAATTAACAGTTTTGAAGCAGAAACACATTTTTATATAATTTATTGACCCTTGGGGACAACAGAAATAAACCCAAAATGAAGAACTTCATGCTATCTCCTCATGAAGTCTAAAAATTCTAGTTGCACTTGAAAAAAAATTTTTCTCAGGATGCTAAGCCAAAAGTGAATAGATGATAGAAGGTCAATTTACAGAAGCATGCTATTTCTAATGTACAAGAGGTTTATATACACATTTTTCTCAACAGCTATTCCACAAACACCAAGGAAAGCTCCTCATTAACAACCGCTTGCCTGCAGTGGTTCCGACATTGGTGGGTAACAAGCTGGTTACTTGGTCTAGCATGGGAGTATATATGATTTCTCAGAACTGCTCCCCAGCGTCAGGAAACAGAAATGATGAGAAGCAGAACACAACAGAATGTATTGCAAACTGCAGTTCTGAATCAGCAATAACTTTGGCCCTAATCCAACAATACATGCAGTTGCTTCACTTATTATGTGTACACAATGTGAGAGGAAAGAGTTTATTTCTAGTGCACACGGGTAAGAAGGTACATAGCATTTAAGTATTAAGTCCTAAACTCCTGGTAGAAAAACACAAGATGTGTGTTAATAATACTGTTGTAAATGCAGTGATTGACAAAAGTCAGATATAAGATAAAAACTAACTGCAAAATGAGTAACATAGACATAATACTCAAAATTCTGTAATCCATTATCCAAGTGATTATCTACAAATTACAATTGAAAATCTTTTACTGGACAGCGTTGAAAATAAAATTCCAAGGTTCCTCAACAGTCCAGGTCTTTCATTTGAGATGATACAGACAAACATTACTAGTATGTTACATACACAGATGTGTCACACACTTTAAAGTAAAGTAGGACTTGTCCAGAAGAAGAGTCTTGATATTGATTAAAACTTTCAATTACCTGCTCTAAATATCTCACCTGTACTGAGCAGCTCAGTATTTCTGAGATTAAGGCCTGGAAAATAATTACGCCCTATGAAATGTTACTTCATACAGATAACAGACTTCGTGTAAAAGAAACATACAGAAGAACAGAAAACATTAAACACATTTCACTTACTTCCTCTGCAACAGCAATGCAATTTCTGTCTGAACTTTCATATATTCTTGTGCCATTTTGCAGTGCTGTTCAAACACAGCCATAGATTCTTTGGAGTTTGGGCATGGTGCTAGAGGCTGAAAATAAATCAGACATGTTAAAAGCTAATGAACTGATATCTTAGAATATAGTGTGTTAGAATGTCTCTGCAGTGTATTTATAACGTCTTTTAAAAACCAGTGAGCTTTTAAAAATAAGTGTTAAACCATGCCCTGGAAAATGTTACTGCACTGATGTCAAAGTTGACTCAAACCTCAAATCTGCAGTTACTAATCTGATACTCTCTGTCACAAAAATCAAAGTAGTGTCTAATCCACCCCACAACAAATAAAGTGAACACAACAATTTAATTCAGTAACACTCAAGCAAATAATGTCTTATTTAGACAGTCAAACTCAGCTTATGTTTGGTTTTAGGGATCATGTTTCCCAGGGCTTGTTTTTAATAGCTTGATCAAATCTGAGTCAACCAATCTCAGATTACATAATATATTTTTTTAGCCTTGGTCAAAAGTTAGACAGAATATAAACACAGGTAAATAAGCAGCACTATATTTTGCAGCCCCAAATTCACACATTAGAATGAAATGCAAGACAAAGAATCTAATAAAGCATATACTTATTACCTGTAACTGATGATCTAATGTAAGATATGCCATTGGGATGGAGTTATCTGACCCATTGGTCTCTGTAACAATACCAAGAAAATTTTAATGTATTTTCAGAGTTAATTCTATTCTTATAGGACAAAAACAAGAATTCTAAATCATTTCACAATACACAGTCTGAATGTGGAAAGGCAAATGGAAATAGCAGCGTTCCAATCCCAAGGCAGATGAATCATTTTGTTTTTCTGGTAAAGTTTAGAACTTCGAAAGTATGGTCTATCACACCAAGAAGAAATAAAGATTAAGGTTATCATCCTACACTTCTAGAAGCCATGTACAGCATACAGATTTTAAAAATACTATTTTTGTACAGTTTGCAATCACATTCTCTATTTATAAAAAAATTGCCATTTCATTCTTGTTTATGAAGGATCAGCCAGCCAGCCCATGCATCTAATGATTTTAAAATTAGAAGCTGTGCAAACCAGCTCTGCCAAAATAAAATAAGCACAACCTCCTGCTCAGTTTTGAAACCTGCTCCCAGTGAGTATCTGTAAGTATCTTCCTCACAACATGCTCTAGGGCATCTTCTCTGCTCTGTAGAGATACTTTGTGGGTAGCAAGGAACCCAATAACCAATCTATCTTTTGGGCCTGGCTGCTCTCTTCTTACACTGCAGTTACTCTGGATTTCTCTAGTGCTTTCATTCCAGATTTAACATGTTTCTGAATTCTTATAGATCCTATCTTTTGGTAGCCCACAATCTGGGGATCACAAGATTAATGTTAAGCTTTAAGAGACATAGGAGTAAAGACACATGGAGAAACTACTAATTTCATAGCTGCATTATTACTACTAGAGGATTATATGGAGAAGGGTAGGTGGGGAAAAAAAAGGGGCTGCTTACCCATACCCCAAAAGCACCTGCCACAGAGTAGTCGTGGTAGAGAAACTAAGGTGTTGCCCTCAAAGACTATGCTATCTCCAAGAGCAGCTTCAAAAGGAAACAGAAATAAGAGGGTGGGAATGGAGAAAAAGTGGTTAAGTGTATGCTTGTAAGGAAACTGGAAGGTGGTAAAAAAAAAAAAAAAAAAGAAAAAGAAAACAACCCTAAAACCAGAGACTTAATCACCACAGTATCTTAAATGAGAACAATATAAAAAGTCCTTCCCTACATTAGACTATTGCCATATATGGAATACTGCTACACAGCAAAGGAATTATTGCAATGTTTCAAATACATCAATACATGCAAAATACTTCAGATTACATTTCTGAGCATTTCATCACTGTGTCACAGAACTGTAACTTTTCCCGTGATCGATCAGATTCGGCTGCATCCTCATTTTATCATTTTGCCTCATTAACTTCAAAACGTACCCTCTTTTACAGAAAACTAAAATTATTTCTCTTTCAAAATTCAAACAATTCTTTGTTCATGGACTGCATAAACCTAACAAAAAAAAAAAAAAACAACCACACAAAACATGTGGTACATTCTATATACCTGAGTATAAGGTGAAGGATTTCTGTGGGCCAGAAAACAGACCTGATTTTAGCTCTAGTGCTGTGCTGCATTTAAGGCCAAAGATTTCAGGCAAACTGCCTTTGCACTGGCATATGATCAGAACTTTCCATTCCCAATGAACTATTGAATGGGTAAGAGCTTGCTTCCATGTGCGGCAGTAATTCCTGTAAGTGCTCACTGCCTAAAGCAAGTCAGGACCCATGCTACACAAAAGAGGGCATAGGGTGGGCTGTGGCAGTGGGCAAGGGCTTTGGGAAATTATGAGTGACAAGGCATAGAGTGTGAAGGGCCTGGAGAACAAGTCTTATGAGGAGCGGCTGAGGGAACTGGGACTGTTTAGCTTGGAGAAGAGGACGTTTAGGGGAGACCTCATCACGCTCTACAACTACCTGAAAGGAGGTTGTAGCGAGGTGGGTGCTGGTCTCTTCTCCCAAGTAACTAGCAATAGGACAAGAGGAAATGGCCTCCAGTTGCGCCAAGGGAGGTTTAGATTGGATGTTAGGAAAAATTTCTTCACCGAAAGAGTGGTCAAGCCTTGGAACAGGCTGCCCAGGGAAGTGGTTGAGTCACAATCCCTGGAAGTATTTAAAAGACGTGTAGATGAGGCGCTTAGGGACATGGTTTAGTGGGCATGGTGGTGTTGGGTTGACGGTTGGACTCGATGATCTTAAGGTCTTTTCCAACCTTAATGATTCTACGATTCTATGATCAGGCGAAGTGACAATGGACAGAAAGAAGAAAGCACAGAAGCAAAATACAAAAGTATGTTGCCCTCTCCCACTAAAACGGGGTGGGGGGGGTGGGGAGGGAGGGAAGAAAAGTACACATCTTGCATACAGAATCACCTTATATTTGGTAAAATACAAGTGTGCATATATATGTATACATGCATATATATATATATATAT